ATATGTTATTCAGACTAAAAATGTCTAGAGTAACGTCAAATATCTTTGTAAAATTCACTTCCGGTCGCTTGTTTTCCTGTCCTCAAAATGAGAAGTTGTGTGAGCAAGATCTCAGAAACGGTAAGAGATTAAGACACCAAACTTTTATGCCTATCACTTTTTCAGCTTGAATTTTCATTTTTATTTTCAGAATCGGACAGAAGACCTCTCATTGCTCGCAATGAGTTTCTAGTTATTATTAAGGTCTTCCGTCTTCACGGAAGACCTTATAGTGATTCTACTGTTTCTTATTAAGGTCTTCTGTTTCAGTCGGAAGAACTTATAGGGATTGTACTGTTTATTAAGGTCTTCCGTTTCAGACGGAAGACCTTATAGTGATTCTACTGTTTTTTCTTATTAAGGTCTTCCGTCTCCACGGAAGACCTTATAGTGATTCTATTGTTTCTTCTTCTTATTAAGGTCTTCCGTCTCCACGGAAGACCTTATAGTGATTCTATTGTTTCTTATTATTATTATTATTATTATTATTCTTTTTTTTTAGACAAAATTTTGTGCACGCGATTTCTCAAAAACTATTCAATGAATTTCCTTGAAATTTTCAGGGATAAAAGGTCCTTATATGAATTTTATATAAAATTCCGTTTTTTGGAAAACTCGGTTCCAGTGCCAAGTTATGGACAATTTTCTGATTTTAAAATGCAATTTTGTCCTTGAGTGTTCTCAAGAATGGCTTAAGATATTAACTGGAGACTTGTTAGAGATGATAGAACATGATTTTTAGATTGGAGAGGGCACCTTTTCATTCGTCGTCGGCACTTCCGGTCGCTTACGGAAGTGATCAAAGAAATTGTTAAATTTCAACTTTCCTTTTTTAAATCAATTCTTACATCACATTATTGCATCTCTTTTGTAGTTTTGAAATATGTTGGTCCCACCGGAAACAAATACGTCAACTTCCGGTTATAAGAGAAAAACTACATAATTTGAGTATTTTTCTTTCCCATTAATATCTATTGTAGATAAAGTATTTGGAATGAATTTCAAATATGTTATTCAGACAGCAAATGTCTAGAGTAACCTCAAACATCTTTGAAAAATTCACTTCCGGTCGCATGTTTTTCTGTCCTAAAAATGAGAAGTTGTCTGAGCAAGATCTCGGAAACGGTAAGAGATTAAGACACCAGACTTATATGAGCAACAGACCTTAAGATGTAGCAAAAACCACTTGGGTTCAGAGCATCAGCCGTCACTTCCGGTCGTCACAGGAAGTGATCAAAGAAATCGAAAATTTCAACTTTTTTTTTTTTATTTAAAAATTGCATCACTTTATTGCATCTTTTTCGCAGATTTGAAAGATGTTGGTCCCACCGGAAACAAAAACAACAACTTCCGGTTATAAGAGAAAAACTACAAAATTTTAGTATTTTACTTTCCTATAAATATTCTTTATAGATAAGTAAACGTATTTGAAATGAATTTTTAATATGTTATTCAGACTGCAAAGGTCTAGAGTAGCCTTAAATATCTTTCAAAAATTCACTTCCGGTCGTGTGTTTTTCTGTTCTCAAAATGAAAAATTGTCTGAGCGAGATCTCAAAAACAGGTAAAAGATTAAAACACCAAATTCTTATGAGTAGCAGACCTTGAGGAGTAGGCAAAACCATTTTGGTTAAACTCGTCCGTCGTAACTTCCGGTTGTCACAGGAAGTGATCAAAGAAATCAAAAATTTTAATTTTTCTTTTTTTAAATTAAAGTTTGCATCACTTATTTGCATCTCTTTCGCTGTTTTGAAACATGTTAGATTGCACCGAAAACAAAAACGTCAACTTCCGGTTTTAGGTGATAAACTACGTTACTTCGATATTTAACCTTCTCATAAATATTGCTTATCGATAAAGTACTTGAAATGTTTTTATGCATTTTGTAGATACTGCAAATGTACAGAGAAACGTCAGAGATTTTTTTTTATAACATTCACTTCCGGTCGCGTGTTTACCTGTCCTCAGAATTAGAATTTGTTCTCACAATATTGCTCGGCAACAGTAAATGACTGAAGTCTAAAACTTTCAGAACTGATAGTCAGTCATCAGTTTATTTGAATCGCGAGAAAAATCTTGTATCGCCGTTACGTCCGGTCGTGACAGGAAGTGATGCAAAAAAGTGAATGGTTAATGATTAGCACGTTGGATTTTCACCCTGACAACCAGGGTTAAATCTCCAGAGTGTCTGAATTTCTTTTATCACCTTTTCAGCTTGAATTTACGTTTTTACTTTCAAAATCGGACGGAAAACCTCTCATTGCTCGCAATGAGTTTCTAGTTATTATTCTTTTTTTTTTAGACAAAATTTTGTGCACGCGATTTCTCAAAAACTATTCAATGAATTTCCTTGAAATTTTCAGGATAAAAGGTATTTATATGAATTTTATATAAAATTTGGTTCCAGTGCCAAGTTATGGACAATTTTCTGATTTTAAAATGCAATTTTGTCCTTGAGTGTTCCCAAGAATGGCTTAAGATATTAACTGGAGACTTGTTAGAGATGATAGAACATGATTTTTAGATTGGAGAGGGCACCTTTTCATTCGTCGTCGGCACTTCCGGTCGCTTACGGAAGTGATCAAAGAAATCGTTAAATTTCAACTTTCTTTTTTTAAATCAATTCTTACATCACAATATTGCATCTCTTTTGTAGTTTTGAAATATGTTGGTCCCACCGGAAACAAAAACGTCAACTTCCGGTTATAAGAGAAAAACTACAAAATTTGCGTATTTTACTTTCCTATAAATATTCTTTATACATAATGTATTTGTTATGAATTTTAAATATGTTATTCAGAATGCAAAGGTCTAGAATAACCTCAAATATCTTTCAAACATTCACTTCCGGTCGCGTGTTTTTTTGTCCTCAAAATGAGAATATTGTCTGAGCGAGATCTCAAAAACAGGTAAAAGATTAAAACACCATACTTATATGAGCAGCAGACCTTGAGGAGTAGGCAAAACCATTTTGGTTAAACGCGTCAGTCGTAACTTCCGGTCGTCACAGGAAGTGATCAAAGAAATCAAAAATTTTAACTTTTTTTTTTTAAATTGAAGTTAGCATCACTTTATTGCATCTCTTTCGCCGTATTGAAATATGTTAGTTTCCACCGGAAACAAAAACGTCAACTTCCGGTTTTAGATGATAAACTATGTTATTTCGATATTTAACTTTCTCATAAATATTGCTTAACGATAAAGTACTTGAAATGTTTTTTATGCATTTTGTAGATACTGCAAATGTATAGAGAAACGTCAGGTTTTTTTTTTTTATAAAATTCACTTTCGGTCGCGTGTTTACCTGTCCTCAGAATTAGAATTTGTTCTCACGATATTGCTCGGCAACAGTAAACGACTGAAGTCTAAAACTTTCAGAACTGATAGTCAGTCATCATTTTATTTGAATTGCGAGGAAATCTTGTATTGTCGTTACTTCCGGTCGTGACAGGAAGTGATGCAAAAAAGTGAATGGTTAATGGTTAGCACGTTGGATTTCACGCTGACAACCAGGGTTAAATCTCCAGAGTGTCTGAATTTCTTTTATCACCTTTTCAGCTTGGATTTACGTTTTTATTTTCAAAATCAGACGGAAGACCTCTCATTGCTCGCAATGAGTTTCTAGTTAAGGTCTTCCGTCTTCAGCGGAAGACCTTCTTGTTATTCTTCGGTTTCTTTTCCACTGTTTTTCTTATTATTTTTTTTCTTACCGATTTTGTGCACGCAATTTCTCGAAAACGGTTCGCTCCATTTTTATGAAACTTTCAGGGCTGATAGAACATTAAAAAATCGTGATACATATTTTTTTTATTTTGATGACGTCACTTCCGGTCCGAAGATTTTTGCGATTTAGTGATTTTTGGAGGGTCAGTTTGTCCGCAGGTTTTCTAAGAAAGCACTAATCATAGGAACGTGAAACTTTTAGGGAAGACAGAGCAATATATGTAGATCTGTAATACGTAGTTAACTTTCACCGGAAGTGCCACACGTCCACGCTCGCTATGGCCTGAAAAAAGTCGTATCGAAAGTTTCAAAATTTTGAACACTTTCTGTACGATATCTTTTTACTTAGAAATATTTTGTTAAAACATATATTACAAAATTTGTGCAGAGTTATAAGATCTTTTAAATGATATCTCGAAAAAAGGGCTGGCCCCTAAAATAAGGAATCTAAAGGGGTCAAAATATTTTTCCTGATATCTCAAAAAGTATTTAGAATTTGTAATACTTCAAAGAAGCAAAGTTGTTCAACATGACAAGTAGCAGCTTGCGAGATCATCAAAATGCGTCGAATGATGTCACTTCCGGCCAAACAGGAAGTAGTAGAAAAAAAGCTTATTTTCACAGATATTGGTACAGTGCTGCTATCCCACAAGTTGACATGCGAGCGAGAATGAGAGGAAAATGGCGGCATTTAGCGAGAAATTCAAAATACTGTACAAATTTTCATATTCCGTGACTTTTGGTGTCCCGCCGGTACACGATGAATGGGCTCAAAAAACTGTACATTTTGCGTACAGCCTGTACATATCACATGTATGTCATGGGATGGGATTGGATAGGATTCAGGATTGAGGATTCACGATAGAAAGATATAGTAGTTAATCCAACCCTATCCTATCCTATCCTATCCTGTATCCTACAGCCTTCAGATTGGAGTAAATGTTAATTCATATTTCAAAATAAATTACAGAAACGCAAAAGGACATAGAACGTTTACAAAAGAAATATTTATAAAATCACAAAAGAAAATAAACATTTTTTTTTTCTTAACACATATTTATTCAATTACTTTCGAGTAATATGGCGTACGATCTAACCGTGAACGATCACCGGAAGAAGTTTCGCATGTAAACAAAGCAGAGATCGGACATCAAATTCATGATGATCAAAAGATCGTATTTCTTCAGCATGTTAGGATGATTAACTCGATTCCTACCCGTGTTACAGTTCAAATAACATGTTTCTCTGTTAAATGTGCTCTGTTTGTCTGGATAATTCCACTTGAACCGTCAGCGGCGGACTATAACAGATCATAATCGCAGTTGTTTGGTGCAAGACCATGTAAGTATACTACACACTGTAAATGTGTGCATGTTTATACATATCTCTCCCTTTAGGCAATGTTTTAATGACTTGAACTATTAAAATTTTATTCTATTGTAATATACACAGAAATCGGATGCGGAAAAAAGAGGTTGTGTAGAAAGGGGACGGGTAGGGGGGTTAAATACTTTGTCACATGATCAGATGTATTACACCTTTTTTCAGTTTGTTATTGCTATAAAATCATTTCCCTACTGTGGTTAAAAAATATTTTTTCTTATCTGATTGCAATTTAGAATAATTAAATGCAGAATCATCATGATCATTTCTTATGCTACTGTCAGGTCTGGTACAATCACTAGATTTAGCTATGTAGCTTGAATTACCTACATAGCTTTATTTACCTACCTGAAGTAGCTTTATTTAGCTACTAAATCAAACTTATTTCTTAAATAAGAATTTTTCCCAGAAAGTGCAGAAAATTGCACTTTGATGCAGTGATAATTTTCAACTTTGAACTCATCTGAAAACAATTCCTGAAAAAATCACTCTTGGAGATGTGTCTTTTTTTGCACGATTGCAATCAAAGTTCTAAAAGTTTTGGGGCTATATACAACAGTTAATTTGTGACCTAACAGTTACTTCTTGAGTGTAATAACAAAGAAAACCAGTTTTGGTTAACATGAGCACAATGTGAAGTAATCATACTTATCCAGCCTCATCGCGCACAAGGAGTGTACAGTTACTCAAACAATGGGAATACATATTTTCCTTAAAGTGATAAAACGCAGCAATGTTAAAACCATCTCTGCTTTAGATTGCTTTTTAAATGATACCTAGAATAAATATTAGTTGATATTTTCTTGCGACTTTTTGTCTTTTTAAAATAAAAAGCAAAATTGTGAAAAGTTGCCTTGAAATAGCTAAATAAAGCTACCTGAGGTAGGTAAATAAAGCTACGGTAGGTAATTTTAGCTACGTAGCTAAATGTACTGATTGTACTGGACCTGACTGTGTATAATAAGCTCACTCAGCACTTGCATGTACATTGTATGTATGACCTATTGTGAGTTGAACATAAAACATGTAACATAAATTAATCATTTATTATTCTTCTTCATTCTAGAGAATGGTACCCAGTTTTGCCTGCCCTCATCAGTCATCACAATATAAAGGATTTTACATTTAGAAGTAGGTATGATTAGATTATTTTTCTTTGTGTGTTTATGTGTGTATCATTAAAATACATATAAATCATTATCTAAGTTGAGATGAAGTGTCTGCAGATTTTATGAATAAGTGATTTTCTTCTTTTTAAAATGTTGACAGTAAAACTGAAATTAAAATATAATTGTTCTGGTCATCATGGTCATGTTATATGTGTTTTCTTTTTTTCATATTCAAATTTTGAGCAAAAATGAAAAGAAATTAACAAACAACATATTTAATAGATTAATACAAGCAGAAAATAGAGAGGAAAAAAACATCCAAACATGTACTCATACTAGTTAGCAAGTCGATGAGATGAAATGAATTATAATCTACAAGTAAATTATGTAAGTTATGATTGTTTAATTAAGATATGAGTTACGACTATGAAGTTGCAGTATAAGATTTGATTTTGCTTGATTTCTTTAAAATTAATGCATTACTCTGGGAGAGAAAAAGGTGAAATTAATTAAAGACAATTGTACTTGAAATGAGAAAGATAATCACAATCAAATACAGTTTTAATGTATAATGTGTATGACAAAATTTACAATCTACATGCATATAATGGTGTGTGTTTTTTTCTTCAGGACAATCCTGCAAATTTGCAGCTGTAGAAATTGCACTTCATCTCATCTGCTGCTGGAATAAATAATGAGAGATTTTCAAACTAGTGTCCAAGAGCCCCCTAGAGTTTGAAATGAAGGTGTTCTTTACTAAGGAGATCAGTGTGTGATGTATTTGTTTTCTGTGCATTGACGACATTTGTGAAACTGTTCGGTTACTTTATGACCATCTCTCTGACAACTACTTTGACATTTGAAATTCAATTTGAGCAACGGACAAGTAGACCAAATAATATGTATGTAAAACATTATACAATTGTAATAAGACATTGATAAACTTCAATTTAAACAAACTAGATGTACATGTATCTTTGAGCTTGGCATTGAAATACATGTATACTTTACATGAACACTTTTAATGAATTTGTCTCTTGATAATGAACATTCAATTGTTATACATTGTAAATATAAATTGTAGATAATATGTATTTGGTCCAATATATATAATTATATTTATATTCACTGAAAACAGGAATTACCCTGAATAAATATTGTGAACTTGGTCAATTATTTTTATTCCTCATTTAGACACTGAATAACATTCAAGATCAAATGTCAAGGTCAAAAACAAGATTTACTTAAATTTGGGTTATAAATACTGTAACAACTGTGGACTCTTATGCATGTTTTATAAGATCTAAGGAATATGTGTGAGCTGACTACAAAAAATTATTGCTGTCACCCTGTCTGACTATGACTATGAAGATTTAGGAAAATGTTTTCTGTTAAACATAAATTGATTAAATTCTCACACATAAATATATTTTTTTTTTAATTAAGATACACTTTTACGGCACTGAACTGACCATAAATTGAAAACAAACTGAAGCGAAATAAGAAATTTTAACATTTTGAATATCTTGATTTTTATTTAGCAAACATGATGAAAATGTTGCATGTTTGTAAAATATTCACATACAAACAAATGATGAACTGAACATTTCAAACAAGAATAACTTTAATAATAAATATAAAACAAATTTTTATCATACATTTAAAATTGAATATAATAAGACAATTTAACTTATTTAATAAATGAAAGTCAACATATTCTAGATCTAAATTTTGACTTGTCTGTTCTCGGTTTATGGTCTTGTCATATCTTGAAGTTCTTATTTAGATTTACGTCAAAAGTAAAATCTAATATACAGTTGATATACTCAGTAGGTGCAGTTAGATCTATATGTTATTTTCATGATGCCCAGTTAAGGGAAAAGTAAAGTTTTGCATAAATTTTATATGAACAGATGAAACATACACTTGTTAAAACATCAAACAAATCCTACTTTTTTCATTATTTAGTATGTGTAGACATGATAGGGAAATTGTACGGTTATAATTCAGTGTACCTACCCCGCATGAAAGATTTGGTATTCGTGGTCTGATTCTTATAAAGAGTTTAAATTTTGTTCCTTTTGTCTACTTTGTCATAACATTAGAAAAGTATCTGCAATCTTTATTGTTTCCCCCTTTTTCTCTCTCTAATTTTAACTCCATTTACTTTTCATAGAAAACAAATTAGAAAAGAAATCACAAATACCTTGACGTCTCCCGATCATTGTTAGTATGTAAAATTAAACACAAATAAAGTTTAATTATATTTTTTTCTTCAATTTTTCTGAAGTTCCAATTTCTTCACATGTTCGCTAGATCAATACTTGCCTACGTTTTATTACAATCCTTTTGTTTACATTTTAACTGGTTACTCGCAAATTAATCCGTGAGAGGTGTCGGAAATTAATGGATGTCGATCTCAATTATTTTTTCTCCATGAAAATTTATAACATTTAAATTAATAACATAACTGTAACTGATTTTTATTTGATGGTCATTTTATATTTTTTTTTTTCGTTTTGTCAAATTAACTCTTTCATATTAAAAAAAAGTGAGAGCAGCAGGATAGGATAAGATAGGATTAGACTGAAGTCACAGGATAGGATTGTGGATGCAGGATTCATGATAGGATAGGATAGGATTGTCAACTTGTAGGATAGCAGCACTGTATTGAATTGAATTATGCATGTCACAGAGGACGTCTGTTGTATTTCCTGTCGAGTATCGTCTCTTTTTTCAACTTCCGGCTAAATTGGAAGTAACTATAAATGACGTATTTCTGCAGATATCAACATAAAAGCAAATGATTGAATTCAACCAAGACTTTTGACCCAATTTTCTGTCGATTGGGGTCACTTCCAGTCATACCGGAAGTAGTTGCTTTATTTAAAGAAAATCAGCATAAAAATCATAAAAAACTAAATACAGATCGACATAATTTTTGGTCTGGAGGCCTTCTTTTTAACGAATACTTTACTTTCATTTATCCATCTTACAAGCAGTGCTTCTGAAAATCGGACGGAAGACCTACTCGTTGCTTTGCAACGAGCTTTGCTCTAGTTATTATTATTATTTTTCTTCCTGGGTACTTTTTTGTCTGTGAGTGATCTCCGAAACTACACATCCGATTGAGGTGAAACCTTTTTAGGGTTAATAGGAATGTTATGTAGATTTGCGGAACGAAGGTCATTTTGCTTGCACAAGCATGCACGTGTGTGCGCGTGCAATGCGTAAAATGACCAATATACTTGTTATAGCTGTAACTTTTATATTTTTTGATGAAAAGCTTTGATACTCAGAATATAAGGATGTATTAATAGTGTAGACAAGATGACATGGTCAGAATGCGCATGCATGCATGTGCGCGCATGCGCATTGATTGAAATAACCAATACAATCGATATAGACTTAACTTGTACATTTTTCGATGAATTGCATTGAAACTCAGAATATAAATATATACTAGACGCGTTTCTTGTTGCTAGGGCAACAAGTGGTCTTCCAACCAAACTTTTCTCCAGATCGCTATGCTACCTCACTTCATTTAATACTTTATTGAAGGTATTTTTTGTTTGCTTTTACGTAACACAGTCTTTCAACATAGATCATGATTATTAAAGGATTTCTGTAGAATCTCTGTTAAAAAAGCTTTAAAAAATAAGCAAAAACTATCATACATGTCTTCACAGAGAAAAATATCATTTACAACTGAAAAAAGAGAGAAACAATCTCCCGCCCCAGCAGGATTCGAACCCGCAACAATACGAGAAAGTTTGGATCGGTCATATCTTTGCAATAAATGCATCAATAAAAATGATGAAAACATACTTAGAACTCTTGGAAGACTCTCTATTAACCCTGTAAATCCCAGAGAAAAATATTGAAAAACAAAAAAGTTGCAAATTTAACATTTTTGAATTCACTTCCGTTTGCGACCGGAAGTACGAACGACGAAAAATAATGGTCGATCACCATATCTACATTTGATGCTCTATCACCTCAGCAAGTTTCATATTCATGTCATCATATATATTGGAAGACCTTAATAATAACTAGTAAACTATTTGTTCAGAGAACAATTAGAGGCCTTTCCACCTTTTTAAGTGTTTCCGTGTCATTTGGGCTGAAAAAAAGGAAAAGTGCCAATAAAATGCAATGAAGATAAAAATCTCAAAACCCTTGATTTGAAAGGCAGGTGCGCTAACCACTGCGCTACACATTGCGATAAAATTGGTAAGTTAATTGTTCAAGACTATAGAATAAATACAAGCGTATTTTTAGAATCGGTAGGGGAAGAAAGAAGTTCCGTAAAAGGAAATAGTTCCTGAACTTGCAAGCAGTATATAAAATAACAAGGAATGGGCTGCGTGAGAAAACGTTAACACTGTTCCCTAATGAAAATGTAAAGGTTTTCTACAGAATCTCAGACAAAAAAGCTTTTAAAAATCAGCAAAAATTACCATACATGTTTTCAAAGAGAGAGAAGTCATTAGCAACTGAAAAAAGAGAAAAACAAAGAAAAAAAAATTAACTGCCTCCAGCAGGATTCGAACCCCAGACAGTGGGACAAAGTTTGGATCGGTCATATCTTTGCAATAAATGCACACATCAAAATATTGAATACATATTTAGAATTCTTTTAAGACACTCTATAAACCCTGTAAATCCAAAGGAAAAATAGTGAAAAACAAAAAAGTTGAAAAAATGGACTTTTTGAATTCACTTCCGTTTGCGACTGAAAGTGCCGATGAAGAAAAATAAAGGTCGTTCCCCATATTGGAATTTGATGTTCTATCTATTCATTGAGTTTCAATTTCATATCTTTAGCCGTTCTCGAGAAAAATTCTGGACAAAATGCCATTTAAAAAATACAAATTTCCCCAAAAAATCGCGAATGGAAGTGAATATTGAAAAAATGAAATATACGTCTGGAGATATTTACATGATGCATCTTCCCTTAAAAAATCTCTGAAATCTGCTTACTCACAGCTGAGTTATCGCAATAACTATAAAAAAAGAATAATAATAATAATAATAATAATAGAAAACAGACGGAAAACAATAACGTCTTCCGAAGGAAGTCGGAAGACCTTAATAATTAGAAGTGTACACAAGAAGACTTGATCAGCGCACACATGCATGCACGTGCGTGCACGTGTGCGCGCGTGCAATGAGTAAAATGACAGATATACTTGATATAGCTATAACTTTCATATCCTTTGATGAAATGCTTTGATACTCAGGAGATCAGGATATATTAAAAGTGTAGACAAGATGACATGGTCAGAATGCACATGCATGCACATGTGCGCATGCGCAATGATTGAAATAACCAATGCAAATGATATAGACTTAACTTGTACATTTTTTGATGAATTGCATTGAAGCTCAGAATATAAATATATATTAGAAGTGTACACAAGAAGACTTGATCAGCGCATACATGCATGCACGTGCGCGCGCGTGCAATGAGTAAAATGACAGATATACTTGATATAGCTATAACTTTCATATCCTTTGATGAAATGCTTTGATACTTAGGATATAAGGATATATTAAAAGTGTAGACAAGATAACATGGTCAGAATGCACATGCATGCACGTGTGCACATGCGCAATGATTGAAATAAACAATGCAAATGATATAGACTTAATTTTTTGATGAATTGCTTTGAAACTCAGAATATAAATAAATATTAGAAGGGTACACA